GATTTTCTCAATATTTTGATTTTTTTTGCACCCTCAGATTCCAGATTTTCAAATATTGTCCTATCCTAACAAACCATACATCAATGGAAAGCTTATTTATGCAGTTTTCAGATGATGTATACATCTCAATTTCACAAAATTGACACTTAAGACTGGTTTTGTGGTCCAGGGTCACATATATCACTATGAAAAGTAGGAGAAACCCCTGAATATAATAATTTTCATAGGCCTATATAATAAATGACTTGCGCCTCAGAGCGAGCAGACGAAATAAAATAAATGCGGTCATTTCGGAGGCGGATGCTGCTGTTTGGGAACGCAGTCGTGTAACAGTTCTGGGAGGCAATTCTACAGAAATACGTTGATGACAGACTTTGCTCGGACATTTCAAAATGACCATAACATTTCAGATGCTGAGGAACATTTCAGATGCTGAGGAACGAGATCGGTCCACTGGTTAGGTTTTGCCGTCCCATAGCGCAGTCACATGACTTTTTTTGATGCGCATGGAGGAATTTACTCGCCAAATGCGTTTCCATCTCCTTTTATTCGCATTAACCCTTTTTCGTACCACCTCAAGCGAGCGAAAAACATTTTTGCGAATTAAGTTTTTTTTTTGTTATTTGCCGTTTCCATCACTTGCTTCTGATGCGATACTTCAAAATGCGCATAAAAACAGGGTGATGGAAACATAGCTAGTAACACTCTCTCTCAAACAGTGTTGGGAGGCCTGAGTCAGTCGGTTCATTCATTCAGTTGAACCGGTTCAGAAAAAAAGATTCTATAATTCTTGTCTTTAATCATAATATAGAATTAAATGCTGCTGGTCAACACTGTTTTCAGCTCTGATATAGAAATGAGAGGACCTTGACTGTATTCATAGGAGCCTAGCAAGGCTGTACTATTATTTGCCATAAATATTAGTACTGGAATTTTACCATTGGGCTGTAAAATAAAATTAAAATTAAACATTTTTTAAAATTATTATTATTATTTTATTACTTTATATTTTTTAATATTCTTTATTTAACAATTAACATTTTGTAAAAAAAAAAACAGTTATACTTATTTAGATTTTAATCATAAAGATAATACCAATATTATTATTGTTTATAGTATTATAATGATCTTTATTATTTGTTTTATTAAAGTATTTTAATTTTATTATTAAAAATAATAATAGTAATTGAAAAATACTTCATATCATAACATTATAATAATAACTATTGTTTTTATTATTATAATGATCTTTATTATGATTATTATTACTTTATTTTTATTATAATTATTATTATTATTATGATTATTACTACAAACAACCACAGCAAGCCAGGACCTTTTATTTTTTTATTTTTTTTTATTTATTTTTTTTGCATTTTTACTCACAATCACAATTTTTATCAGAAAAATAGCGATCAGATGTTTTTCTCTGAATCATTCAGCCCTAATTACTAGTATCTAGTACTCTGACAAAGTAACGTCAACACTCTGTGTGACAGTGAGGTTGGGCTTATATTGTGTGTGTGTGTGTGTGTGTGTGTGTGTTCTGTGCTCAGCGGAGAGCGCTGGTGTAAGGACAGTGACTCTGCGGAGAATCTCTACATTGATGTGATGCTGTGGCGTCATGCGCGGCACCTGCTGGAGCAGGTCAGACTGCGGGATCTGGGCTGTTTCTCCGCCCAGCTGGGCTTCGAGCTGATTGGCTGGCTGTGTCGGGAGCGCATGCGGGTGGCCCGGGTCGATGACTTCGTTACCGCCCTCAAATGCCTGCATAAAGACTTTCTGTGGCCATTTCCTGTAATCCCAGCATGCTCCATTAACTCGCCGCTAAAGAATGGACGTTGCCGTCCAGGTATGTGAATGGTTTTTCCACTTATAATGTCATAATCAGTATCACAGGAAACTGGTTTTAAACTGCAAATGTTTCTGTATTGAGGTATGATTCTTTATATGTTTTACTTTTATTTTCTCTCTAAATTTTTATATAAACCAAAAAATAAAAATAAGAAATAATAATGAAATAAAAAATTATATTTTTTAAATTATATATATATATTATACATGATTATTTTAATAATCATATTTATGTAAGGAGCACTACTCCCCCAGATTGTGTATCAAGTGGAGGCCGGCTGTCTGGAGTGGTGTGTGCTCATCGGTCTGATCTTACGAGACGCCGGCGTCATTAAGCAGGTCGTGGGGTTTTTGGACAGTCCAGAAGTCCCTCCAGAAACGGTCCAGAGCATCCGAGCCGGTCTGATAGCGGTCGACCTGTGGGCCTCGTCTGATTGGTCAGTATCACTGGCAAATTTCATTTCATATAGTAAAGATCTATGTATTTGTATAATGTGTTTAAAGGGCTATCATATAAATATAATGAGAAAATATTATATAACTTTTAAAATAGTCTTTTTTTTTTTTTTCTAAAAATTTCAAATTTTTTTTTTTAAATG